CGGATTAAATTTTGTATTTACTTCTTAGTAAAGAAGTTTATACATTTATAAAATATAAACGTTTGATGACTTTAGATATTATGCACCATATATTATTAATTGAGCTTACAATTAAAGAATCAAGTAAAGAGATCAAAGAACTTGCAGGATAATTTATGCGAATTAATATAAAAGCTAAAAAGATACCAAAAAAAACTTTACCAGATAATCCTACTGAAGATTATAATTTAGCTCAAGACTTTATGTTTATCATTCTGAGATCAGAAGTTCTTGCACATATAATAGATATGTTGGACTTTGAAATACAAATCTACAAATAGTATAATTAGAGACAATGTCACCATTTCATATATGATAAAATTCAGAAACAATCACAATTTTCCAACCAAATTGCAATTGCTTGCAGAGACTCTCAACCAATTAAAGATAAATTGGTCAAATACCTTTATTGTCAAGGATATGTGGGATATCGTGATTCAGATCACACATGATTTAGCTTCAAGCTTTCTTATAATAATCTTTATAATATTAGATATGTTAATATTAATACCAATACCAAGCTTGCAAATGACTAATGTATCTGTCAACATATTAAGAACACTTAATATGACAATATTAAAGGATATATGAGAACTATTTTAAAGAAAAAAAGTTATTGTCTTAACATATGATATATAAAGCAGAACAAAATATGAATAAAAATTCTTGACTTGCAGGAAATTATCAAGAAGTTCCAAGTTTTGATGTTGCATATCTAAAATTTCAAAATTTGATATGGTTTTTAGAATATTAATATAAGAAATATTAGAAAAATTTTCAAATAAATAATTAATAATATTTTAATTTTTATTTTTAAAATAATTAATACTCAAGATGAAGCAAGCTTTTTGAATACTAATAATAATATTATTATCAAAAATTATAAATTATAAAATTTTTTCCAAGAATTAATTATAACACAATCAATTTCTTTACTTATATATACAAATATTACTATTATATATTATTATAAGAAAGCTAATCTGAATCTAAATTTCTATATTGATTATATAAGATTATTAGTAAAGTAAGTAAATGAATTATAGTTAGTATTATAAAAAATATAATCATTCTCAATAATAGATTAATAGTTCTGTATATGTAAAAATCTACAAGGAATAAAAATTCAAAAGTTAACTCACAAACTCTTAATTGTTATATGATTATAAAATTTGAAGATTTTTCAAAAGAACAATCAATATCACCAATTAATAGTTTTGAATTAGTAATAAATAATTTGTGTGAACATAATTTGGAATATTATCTATCTAAATTTCATCAAAGGAATATATTTTATTCAAATATAATACAATATCATATTTGATAAATGCTAATTGTGATTTCAATATATTTTATGTAGTTTTGATAACATATAATAATGAATCAATTGCAAATATTATCAAAAAATGTATCAAGATTTAAAAAAGAACTAAAAAGTAATTATCACAAAGTATATGTATGTGTAGCATGATGTTATACATATAGTTGTTATTCAAATTCTGGAATTTGTGATTTGAGCACTGAAAATACCAGAAAAAATGATATTTTTCAATAATATTTAAATTCTATATGTTCAAATATATTTTGTCCAGTTTGAACAGGTAAAATTCCAAATTTCAAATTCCAATTAGAATTTGAAATTTGGAACTGAACAATTTTTTTTTGGATTTGAACAGTAATATAATTCCAAATGTTAATAAAAATTCCAAATTCCAAATTTTATTTATATAATATTTGATTAATTAAAAAGTAAAAATTTAGTTTTGTAGTGTTACAATAAAAATCTAGTTTTGCATTATTATATATTTATATATTTATTAAATATATTAATTAAAATATTTAGTTTTAATAATTCAAAAATTTAAATCAAATATTAAAAATTTTTATTTGTTAATATCAAAAAAAATTTTCAAATTTTATATATTCAACTCTCTAAATAAATATTAAAAAAATTCATTATTTTTCTAATCATTCTATTTAAAAATTATTTTGAATTTTTGTATTGAATTTGTTTTTAATATCTAATTTGGAATTTTTACTTTTTATATTATAATAATTATTTATTTATTTATTATAATTCTTTTTTATTTTTAAATAATTATTATAAATTATTTTGTATTATTTTACTTTAATTTCATTATAAAATAGTAAGTATAGTTTTTCTTTGAATTAAAATATATATTAAATATGAATTTTAAATATATACTTTATTTTTAATATATATAATTTTAACTATTATTAATTATAATTTTCTAAAACTAAAAAAATTGTGTAATAAGTTTATTTTAATTAATTATTTTAGTTTCTAATATTTGAACTTGTCATAAAATATTTTTAATTAATATATTATTATTATTATCCTATTTATTATTCAATAAATTAACAGATCTTTATTTTTGATTATATTATTAAATAAAAATTTAGATATATTTTTGTAATAATTTTCTAATTATTTTTGTTTATTAATTTATAATATTTAATTATTCAATTATTTTTTTTGTTCTAAGAATTATTCTGAAATTATTATTATAGTTTTTTTAATTTTGATATAAGTTTAATATTCTTCTATTATATCAATTAATTTGAATATTTTTATAATTATATAATAATATTTAATACTTATAACAAAGACTTGATTATTAATAAAAAAAGATTAATTAAATAAAAGCAATTAAAATTACTTAATTATATTATATTCCAATTAAAATTATTATAAAATACTTTATTTAATAAATTTTTTTTAATTCTTCTTTTTGTATTTCTTTCAAAGAAGTATAATTAAAGTAATATTTAATTAAAAAGCAATTATTTTAATTAATATAGTCAAAGTTCTCTATAGTTATACTTATTTATAGTTATATATCTCTATAGTTACTCTATTTTGTTTTTTTTATTTATATATAAATATAATAAAAAATCTCTTTATAGTCACATTCTCTCTATAATTACCAAATTTTATTTTTCTGAGAGTGATAATTATAAAGAAATTTGATTATATTCAAAATTATTAATATATACATGAAGAAGAATATAATATATAAAATTTTATTAAAAAATAAAAAAGATTTATCTAAATTAATAATCTTACACTCACATATAATCTAAAAATTAAATATTAATATTATAAACTTTATTAAAATTATATTATAATATTAAAATTATATAGATTTAATAGAAATATAATATAATTTTATTTTTAATAAATTTTAAATAATATTAAGAATAATTATTTTTTATTTTAATCAATACTTCAAAAAATATATATTATAGTAAATAATATTTAATAATAAAATTAGAAAAGAGATCATATAATATAATAATATACAATATATAATATATATATTAATACTGAATTGAACTTTAAAGATTATAATATTACTAATTATTTAATATAATCAACAAATATTTATAATCTTGTAGAATCAAATATAATATTTAATAAATAAATAATCTTTTTATGATATAAATAATTATAGAAATATCTATTTATCAATATTAATCTAAATAAAATAGTATCTGTAAGAATACTTTCTTATGTGAAAAGTAATAAGATAAATTTATTAATTGTTGTAAATAAATTATATCAATTGAGA